ATGTGAGCTGCTTCACTCTGCCACACTCTCTGCCATGATGTACTGCCTCACCTTGAGCCCTGAGGAAAGGAGCCTGCTATCTATGGATGGAGACCTTGGAAACCTGAGCCTCCAAATAAAATTTCCTCCCCTAAAATGGTTCTGGTCAGATCTAAACAGCTGACCAACGCAATGGGTATGATCCCACATACTTTAAAATAACAATAATAAATGATGGTCAGAGACACTAACGCTAAGAAGTCATGGATGCTTCTGAATCAAACCGTTGTGAGCAGATTATAGGTTGTCTTTATCTGCTTTGAGCATGGATTTTGCTGGCATCCGTGTGGTAATGTCCTCTGATTTCCTAAGACCCTATGCCACTGTCATCAGATTCTCTGTAGTGAGCCACAGAGGATCTCACAGTCACTCACACTGCTGCTGGAGATAGCAGAACACAAAGCATATTTTATGGCAGAGAGGGGAGATAAAGAGAGTCTGACTGTCCTGACTTCCTCTTCTTCTGAATTTTGCCAGCCAAACATAAATGCTTGGCCAGGGGCTTTGTCATTTGGAGGCACCACCACTAACTCTAACATCTTGTGCTCCAACCATGACTATCTCAGTAGGTGCCTCCCTGTTTTGCATCTGTTACACTTTCTAAAGCAAATCTAGAAACAGCCCTGCTCACCAAGTTCACCACGCTTTGACCCTCCCATTCCAGAGCCTCTGACCCAAGTGGCCACTGCAGAGAGAACCCCACAGGAAATGGAAGGCCACCTTCAGGGGATATCATTGCCTCACACACAAAGGGTGAGCCAATGTTCCCGAGTGCCAGGATGTGGGGGATACGGGGGAGGGAAGCAGGTGCTTAGCCAAATAATAACACCAATGACTGTGAAGTGCCTGATGTCCCAGGGCAGGTAGAGCTGCTGGGCCAGCGGGGATGCTCCTCAGAGCCCCAGCTGCAGGGCTACCTGCTGGCAGCCAAGACACAGAGGCAGACGTCTACAGGTGTCCCCACTCAGTGCTGACTCCACACGGTCTGCTCACCTGCTCGGCCCCTAGAAGGAGGTAAAATAGTGCTCATTAAAAGCAAACTCCGGCAGTGGAGCTAAGCTATCAGGCAACGCTGGAACTTGAAAATTTAGATAAGTCAGGTCCTGAGGGGCAAGATCAATTTGGCATTTAGGAAGATCAGAAGTCATTTTCCAAAGCAAGGGGGAGGGCACTAGTTTAGCTGCAAGGACGCCGCTGTTGGGAAGCTGGATTTCCCAGCACAGCGCCTTCCTAACCACAGTTCAGTCAATAAAGGGACTGGTCTGCAGCAATCACGGATGTGCTTGGTTCTAATCAGAATAACCAGTGTGAAGTTGTGCTTGATCCAGCCCATGTCGAATGCAAAGCGGAGTTCTTTCGGTTCTCTAGAGAACAGATGGGAACCATTACAACAAAAAGAGCCAAAGGAGGAAGAAAGCTTGTGGTTTTGCTGCTCCTACAAGTAAGCAGGAGCAGTTTCCTGCTGTCCTCCAAGACGCTTGTAAGGAAATGGGATGTTCTGGGACATACATCTGAAAAGGTAAACAGGCCGCTTAATTAAGGGAAACACTTTGGAGCAAAAAATACAAAATAAGCAAAGGACAGAACTAAATATAAATCAAAATAAATTTTACAAGCATAAGGATCCTGCTGAAATACTTCCCCCAAATTTCATATGGCCCCTCCCCCTCACCACCTCTGACATGGAGGTGCCCTCCCGAGGTCACCAGCCAGTGCCCACATTCCCACGGGAACTGGGGTTCAGAGGGCCCACAGTAAGTGTACCTCTTAACCCTAGGACCTCAAAATCTCCATAGCACTGTCACAATTTAGTAATACCTCCTGATTTCATGGTGGGGAAGGTGTAATGGCACCAATTTATTTGGTTACTTGACCTGTTCTTGGGCAATGCAGATAGGCAGTCGAGTTAATTAAGTCAACACTCCCCATTACCACTCCTACTATTTCCCCAGAAGAAGTTGTGATTCTCTCTAAGAAAAAAGGATCTGTTCTCCCCACAGCTGTTTTAAAGTGGTTATACAACCTCTGCTACAAATGCAGGAGGACTGGCAATAAAATGTGAAAACTTGCCTTTTCTAAATTTAATGAAACTCATGTAACAAGGATGTCTTTTGAATCCTCGTCTTCTACTGTGTTCTGGCATATTTGGGCATATTTGGAGAAATTGGGGAGGAGTTGATTCGTAAAGTAATGGTGTTCTCTTACCCTCCTGCCCCAAACAGTGGGACCTGCAGAGCCCCTGGCAGGTGAGAGAGATACTATGAGTCAGAGACACTTTCCCTGATAACAAAGCCTTGCTTTGGCTCATGGACCCCTTTAAGAGCCTACTGGGACTGGACCCTCCACACAGAAAAATTGACATCTACACCTATAATGCTCCATCTCTGTGCAATTCTGGGACATTCTCAGACTCCTGTATACCTACCCACAGATCACCACTTAGGGCTCTGGGGGACTCAGGGAGGCACTTTTCCAAGAGTTCCTGCTTCTCAGGAATTGACTAGAAATAGCATGGCCTCCCCTGCTCGGTCTCCAGGGCTGGTCCTGGCCTCCAGGACTCTGTGTCTGGCATCGTGTGTCTGGATTCAATTTCAAAGAATACAATTTAGCCTCAGCCATTCTACCGCAGGCACTCACGGGACAGCTACCAGCACTGGACCCTGTGTCCGGTAGAGCAGTGGAGTAGCACAGGTGCCACAGAGGTGCCACACAAATGGAACTCTCCTTGGTGGGGGAGACCTCACCAACGCCTTGGGAGCCAGAGTACTCCATCAGCTGAGGACACCAGCAGAGCTCAGTAAAGGTGGGTGTGAATGCTACAGGGATCACATGTGGACCCACAGGTTGGTGATATCCACAGACATTCAGGTGATAGCTAATCACTAACTTCTTTAAACCTGTTAGTCTAAGTGCAGGACCATTTCTAGAGGGGAGTGAGACCTTGCAAAACTTCAGTTTATCAAAACTAATTTTTTAAGCTTCTATTTAATGTTGTCACTATGGTTAAAATGAACAGTGAAAGTAGTCCTTGAAGCAGACTTCTGAACACAACTCAGAAGGAGGCATGTGGCAGGTGGGTGGATGTGCTTCCAACCCGAGCACCCTCTGGGGACAGGTGTATTGGTGACTATGTGGGTGGCCCAGGTGTCATGGGAGGTAGTAATTCTATATGCAGATGTTTGCCCCAGCCCCATGTCAGGAAGCCACACTGAAGTGCTGAATTGTAGCAGTAAATCTGCCTCCAAATGCAGGCACGAGTTGTCTTTTTGCTTCTATGTTCGTTTATCTAACTCTCACTCCAGTTTAACAGCACTTTCTCTATGAAGGTGTTGGCAAGAAACAGACTTGCAACAAAATTTTTATTAGCATCTATGCTCCCCATATGATGGGGGAAGAGAGCTTGGGGGTGCTAGTAATATTGATTCCTAAATAGAGCATATTTAGAGTCTGCTAAGGCTTACCTGTGACCTTGAGCAGGTCAGCAGGCCTGTCATTTTTCCCACAGATACAAAAATACTAATGATCAAATTATAAGCATGGTGGGGCTGGGGTTGTGGCTTAGCAGTAGAGCACTTGAATAGCATGTGTGAAGCACTGGGTTCGATCCTCAGTCCCTCATAAAAATAAATAAAATAAAACCACTAAAAATATTTTTTTAATTATAAGCATGGTCAGAACACATTGATTTTGTATGACTCTTTGATAGTCACAAAGCACTTTCTCTCATTTAGTCTCATAGTAGGGTTAAGAGTACAGGAGGCAGACCACCTGCCTGTGTTGAAGTCTTTACTCTTTCACCTACTGGGTGACCAGTAGCAAAGTATTAACCTCTCTGTGCCTCGATTTCCTCAGCTATAAATTGGTAATAATTCTTTCCTCATAAAATTGCTAATGACAAATCATCACATAGAATGAGCTTAGAACAATGCTGCATAACTGTTCAATAACTATGTCAAT